TTTGGCCTGGGGGAGGCTAGAGGGAAAATCTGGAGTGGAATATGTTATCTTGGATAATGTCGGTTGACCACGCTGACAGCTTGTTGATCCACCCCTTCTCCACACACCCCCCACCACCACCTCCAACAGCTACAGTCTTCTGCAACACACACACATATTTTCACACACTCGCAAACACACAAGCCTCCTACTGAGTCACCCCCTACCCCGACCTCCCCCTCTTTCATTGCAGCACTGTCATTCATAGAGTGCCAAAGCCTGCTGCTTTATTAAAGCCCAGGAAGAGCAAGCCCTGGCCCGGGTTCAAACAGCAGTGCAGCTGGGACCTGTTACATTTTCGGCAGACTGCCCTCTCCGTCTCACTGGCTATAAATAGCCCCAGTGGTTGTCTCCCTTAACCGAGGAAAAGAGGTTTTTGGGGGAGGAAAAACACACCCGTACGCACACGCGCACGCAGGCACACACACACACACACACACTCACACTTGCACACAGATTAATAACCGTGGGAAGCAATGAAACCTTTGTGTCTGCTGCCCGAGGTCAGCAGGCCAGGAGGTGTTGCTACTTCAAAGACCCCGTTGTGGTTTGTACTTTCAGACGCCGCTGCGGTGGGTTTGATGGGAACATACACAGGCTGTCAGAAGTGTGATGTGTTGATGGCATCAGACCATGGCAAACGAGCAGAAAACTTGTTGTGAATTGCTATTTGTTTATTTTTCCACTTGATGACCAGTTAATAATGCTGCAGTGGAATCCCATTTTATTAATTTTTTTAGAAATATTGGATATACTTTTTTTTTTTCTCATGCCGGGGGAGTGTTGTGTCGGAAGGGATCCCACCATGTGTTATGTACACACAAACACACTGTCACCGACTTTATGGCATAGACATTTTATGACACTGGTTCCAGCTGTTGACAGATGAAGCTACCTCATTGTAAACCACCACCAACCCAGAATATGCCATCTGACTCCGTAACATTCCCTGTTTTTACCATGTGAATCTCTACGAGTCCAGGATGCCCTAGGTCATTCCCCACATCCACCACCCCACCCTTTATCCTTACACGGCTTCCAGCTGAGAGGTGGGCACAGCTCCAGCCACCGCAGACACTTCCACTTCCTTAAGCTTATTTTCATAGAAACCTTTACCAACGTCTCTGCCGTAACAGTATCCACCCACTGGCACAATGATCTCCTGGGCCGGGAAATGCTCCTGGCGGATGTAGTGGGCTTATTCATTCATTCATGGCCAATTTTTTTTCCCTTTCTATTTGGAAAGTAAATCCACTACAGTTTTTTTTCCCTCCCTTCTGCTTTTTGTTCTATATTTGCTTGATTACACTGTGGCTGGTTTATGAGATGATGCTCATAGGACACACTGCAGTGGAGTCATGCTGAGTAATGCCTTCTCAAGACAACTCACTAAAAAAGGTTCTAAAATAACTCCAGCTAAATTTGACCTGGACCGCATTTTCTCATCCTTTTCTGTCACTTCACTGTGCTCGGAACAAGATCCCTTTATTTCTATCACTATAGAGCTTGTTAGGAGGTATGACTGAACCCTCTAATAGGGACTCTAGACATGCCATTACCATCAGCACTAAAATCACAATAATTGTGTGGATCACACAGTTATTTCTAAAGTCAGCTTCACCATACAGCTTTAATGTCAGAATTGTCATTCCAGCAATCTATTTCGTCAGTTCATGGATGTATCACATATTCTCTTTGTATCTTCTCCAGCCTCCAGGCCCAATGGACCAGGTAGGGAAGATGCGCAGCCAACCATATGGAGGACCCAACCCCTTCTCGCAGCAGCAGCAAGGACCTCCCACAGGGCCTGGACCCCAACAGGCAGGCTCTTACCCAGGGCAGGGCTATGGCCCTCCGGGCCCTCAGAGGTACCCTATTGGGATGCAGAGCCGACCACCTGGAACCATGAGTGGCATGCAATACGGACAACAGGTCAGTAATGATTAACTTGGCTCTCTATTGGTACAGTTTTAATTGAAACCTTACACAACCAATATTTGCTGTTAAGACATTTCTGTGCAGATTATTTTTGAAATATCTGGTGACTTAGGCTAAATTCTTTTCATCAATTATGCTAGTAAATTTAGCAGATTGTCCACTAAGTAGGTGATGAGATGTTTTTGTACATTTTGGTTTACTGCACCAATTTAAAAGTCCTTAAAAAGAAATGTAAAATAACTTGAATAAGAAATATGACAAGAAAAATATTTGTGAGGTGATATGTAGCAGTCGAGTTTAAAAAAAGCAGCACTGTGCAGTCAGAATTTATTCCACAAATTTGTACCATCTAATGAGAAGAAGACATGAACTAGGATAAGAAACTACAGCATGGTTTGAGAGGAGAGCCTGTAGTATCGATAGGGTAACACTCTTCTGCCATACTGCCAGAGTAATAGAGCATTGGAACAACTATGTCATTACTAGAAAGTCTAATCCAGGTCAAAACAACTCTTCGTTAGCAGAAGATATTTAAGAAATGTCATGTATCCAGGTACAGTGACTTAAAGGAATTGAAAGCCATTAAGGCATTACCCTGTTCTAGCTGTCATAGGGAGGTGTGTGTGTGTGTGTGTGTGTGTGTGTGTGTGTGTGTGTGTGTGTGTGTGTGTGTGTGAGTTCATAATGGATATAAGGAAGTTCTTCCTGTCATTTTTTCCACTTCGACAAGTGTT